CGGTCGTCGGACTTAAAAATAAAAATAATAAATAATAAAAAGAAAATAATATAAGAAAATTATTTTATAGTTAATATATATTACTCTTATAAAGTAATAAAGAAAATAAATAATATAAGAGATTAAAAGAGAGTATAATACGCTTTATATACTTTTTTAAAAAATGAAAATGTAGTTTTCTTGTTAATGCTCTGATTATAAGCTTAAGCTTAAATTAAACTTAATATAAAGGTAACTTAAATTTAGCTTAAATAATTTATAAATTAAATAAGAATATAAGAGAGAGTAAAAAGAGAAAACCCTTTTTCTTCTTCTCTTTCTTCTTAAGTTTATTCTTACTTTTTAAAGACGTATACTTATAGAAGTTATAGTAGTATAGTATAGCTAGTCTATAATAGCTATTTATAGAAGAGTAAAGTCTTTTAATAAGTTAAGTATTCGCTTTAAAGAAATTAAGCTAGCCTTTTATAAATATTAGATATCTTTACCTCTTCTTTAAAATAATAACGCTTTACTTCTTTCTGCTATAACTAAGAGAACTAAAGTACTTTAACTTAATCTCTAGCTTAAGAATATAAAGCGTAACTAATAGCTTTTCTGTAAGCCACATTACTATAAAGCATAGACAACCTATTATAACATTATAATGCAACCTCACTCGCTTTTCTCTTCGGTAAACTGCAGACTCCCTGGTTCACTTTAAGGCTGCCATAATAGTGCATTTGCCGTAAGTTATCTAACACCGTCGTCCTCAAACTGGTCAGTTCAACTTGGCATACTTAATGTACATCAGGGCTCCTAGAACACAGGTGCCGCTCCGACTTGTGAACACCACTCACGGGAAGCATGCTAGGAGAGATCGTGCAAGCTGATTGGCGAGCAGCACGGATGGCCGAACATGCCGAAGCAAGACTCCGTGTTCCGAATAGGTACTGAAATTTCCGGAGTTCGGCTTTTGTATGTTGGATACGACTCCTTAAAGGAGCGGTATCTCCTTGAGAAGGATCCCATTTTCAACCACCCAAAGAGTACGCTACGTTCACATGGTCTAGTTGTATTTGTGTTCACTAATCTGAAACGGCAAGCGTAGGTTAATGCTTTGTGCACATCGGTGTTCCGTTTGTAGATGGTGTTGGTTGAGGGATCGCAAATTGTAACCCCTGCGATTGAACTGGAGTGCATGTTAAGGTTACAGCCTTGACCTTAACACAGGAAGAGGGGATTGCATGTTGTAACCCTGACAGCAAGACGGGGGTTGCGCCTTGTGAACCTGACAACGGGCAAGGGTACAAAGTGTGACCCTTGAATCCATCAATCCATCCACTCAGTTTCGGTTCCCAGCGCGGTTCACTCGTTGAAAGAGTTAAAGGACGAATGGTCGGACCATATGGCCGATAACCAGGGTCGGGTGCAGGTTCAACAAAACGGCGAAGATTGGCAAGATGCGCATGATTTTCTCCAGGCACAAATCGCCGATGCCTGTGATGATAATTCTGGAGACGATCCGGAGACACACGACGCGTTGTAATCTTCTATTTATAGAAGAGTAAAGTCTTTTAATAAGTTAAGTATTCGCTTTAAAGAAATTAAGCTAGCCTTTTATAAATATTAGATATCTTTACCTCTTCTTTAAAATAATAACGCTTTACTTCTTTCTGCTATAACTAAGAGAACTAAAGTACTTTAACTTAATCTCTAGCTTAAGAATATAAAGCGTAACTAATAGCTTTTCTGTAAGCCACATTACTATAAAGCATAGACAACCTATTATAACATTATAATGCAACCTCACTCGCTTTTCTCTTCGGTAAACTGCAGACTCCCTGGTTCACTTTAAGGCTGCCATAATAGTGCATTTGCCGTAAGTTATCTAACACCGTCGTCCTCAAACTGGTCAGTTCAACTTGGCATACTTAATGTACATCAGGGCTCCTAGAACACAGGTGCCGCTCCGACTTGTGAACACCACTCACGGGAAGCATGCTAGGAGAGATCGTGCAAGCTGATTGGCGAGCAGCACGGATGGCCGAACATGCCGAAGCAAGACTCCGTGTTCCGAATAGGTACTGAAATTTCCGGAGTTCGGCTTTTGTATGTTGGATACGACTCCTTAAAGGAGCGGTATCTCCTTGAGAAGGATCCCATTTTCAACCACCCAAAGAGTACGCTACGTTCACATGGTCTAGTTGTATTTGTGTTCACTAATCTGAAACGGCAAGCGTAGGTTAATGCTTTGTGCACATCGGTGTTCCGTTTGTAGATGGTGTTGGTTGAGGGATCGCAAATTGTAACCCCTGCGATTGAACTGGAGTGCATGTTAAGGTTACAGCCTTGACCTTAACACAGGAAGAGGGGATTGCATGTTGTAACCCTGACAGCAAGACGGGGGTTGCGCCTTGTGAACCTGACAACGGGCAAGGGTACAAAGTGTGACCCTTGAATCCATCAATCCATCCACTCAGTTTCGGTTCCCAGCGCGGTTCACTCGTTGAAAGAGTTAAAGGACGAATGGTCGGACCATATGGCCGATAACCAGGGTCGGGTGCAGGTTCAACAAAACGGCGAAGATTGGCAAGATGCGCATGATTTTCTCCAGGCACAAATCGCCGATGCCTGTGATGATAATTCTGGAGACGATCCGGAGACACACGACGCGTTGTAATCTTTACAGGCTGACGACGACACACCAAACCCCAGCCAAGCATCGACCATATGGGCGGCAGAAGACCCAGACTTGAGTTTTGCGACCAGCTTTACATCTAGCTCTGGCAATGGACCGCCGATTGGATCCAAGCGAGCCAGGCAACTAAGCTCACCGAATAACTCCTGGTGACGCAGCTCATCTAAGAGTCGAACTCGTATCAACGTAAACGAGCTTAATAAAGATTCGTCGAAAAGGAAAAAGTGGAAACAGATCCACCAATACACCATTACTTGTCTGACGAAAGTAAAAGGACTGTGCTAGCAAGTAGCGAGGAAACGGACGAAGGTCTTCGCGAGTAGGACGGGCATGGTAAGAGTAAGCTATGTGATATGCACTGAGGCGCGCGGGACAAGACGATTATTAGCATGCGTGATCCTGGTCCTGCCTCGCATCAGTGACTACAACTTGTGATCCTTGTCCATTATGCTTGTTTGGCTCATCGGTTTATGTACCCAAGAATTGCATTTGTGAAAATACGCAACCTTGTTTTCTTTCTTGGCGAGACGTCGTATACATTTCCGGACTTGGCCGTGAAAAGAAAAACAGTCTCGCGCAGCGCTGACTGCATGGCATTCGTAACGGTCAAAAGGCCTGGAATGGAAAACGGCTGCCTGCGCGTCTTCAACCATACATGCCCGCGGCCCGATGAGAAGCGATGCCAGCCATGGAACTGTAGAGATATAAATAAGGTGGATGATGGTACAGTACCTCTCGCCCTCTATCATCGGTTCTACACTACCCATCACTTCGTTGACACTATTATACAATCCCAGGCTGCTAAGTTCCAAACCGTTATATTTTCCAACTCAGTCACCCGCAGTCACAATGGCAGTTTCAACCATGGAGGAACTCGTTGACCAGGCCTGCAATGTAAGAAATGGTCCTATATTCGTGAGACACGATTCTGTGCCAGAGCTAACAGGGGTGTAACGTTAGCGATGTGGGCATGTTGTATGTCGTAATCCTAGATCCTAATCTTCTTCACCAACAACTACAACGGCGTCCCGCGTCGTGGACCATCACCAACCTCTCATATACCCAGAGCTGCTATTTGTGGAGCTAACACAGGCGAAATATGTAGCCGTGTACGTGTTGTCCCAGTTGTGGGGGGGTAAGTACAGAATTATTATCGCAGTTTAAAGATACAAGGCTAACAGAGATGGATGGAATAAATAGGTGGGAGGGTGCGGATGTGTAAGTAATAATCTTGATTGCAAAGAATCTGGGCAAATATCTGATTAGAATGAATAGGAGAGCTAAATTATGATCTGAGAGATGGATTTGGTGGAGTTCAGTCTAACCTTGTTATGGGTTTTTCTCCTATTTATGCTAGGTTTTCCCTAAACTTTTATGCAAATGCAAAGGTTAGCTAGTGAGACTCGAATACAATTATGTTGCGTCAATATTTGCTAGGCAAGTAGTAATCTGTGTAATAAGCTGGCTATCTCGGCATCGAATGTGATTTGCGTTTTCGAGGAGCCGCTGCAAGGTGCCTTGCCTACTATGTGAGACTAAACACAAATAAGTCGCCTCATCATCATGTCCTTACCTGGTGTAGGAGTCAATCAGTCGTACGTTGATCCCTATTTCTCTTAAACAGCTCGGGTCCAGAATTTCCATCCTTCCCGATCCTCACGCGCCCCTACTCCAACCAGTTGTTCGATACCTTCAACACCAACAGCATTCTCAAATATTTCTTGATCGATCTCTTCACCTCCCTCTCCACTAATGTTATTTCTAAATACAGCGGGCCAAAGCACCGCAACTCCGTCGGCGCCTAGGATAGTCTCATATTTCTGAAATCCTTCGGCAGTGAACTTCGTCTCTAGCCCTTTAATTGTTTCATCCTTGGCATCCGGTCGGAAAAGTGTGATAGCACATCCACCACCTCCAGCACCAGTAAGTTTAGTCCAGCCGATATCTGCATAATCCACGAGCTCGCGGATGCGCTCTAGACGAGGGTGAGAGACCCCTAGTGAAACTAGGAATCCGTGGTTTATACGGATTAAAGTTCCCAAGCGTTCAAGAGTATTAGACAGTCCACTGCTATCTAAATCAGCAGATGAAATGAGCCCCAATGCAGACGTTGTAAGATGGCCAATTCCATCTAAAATTGACTGTGTTACTACCGGGTGATTGTTTTTTAATGCTCTTACTTTATCCACCTGTGTAGCTGTTGATCGGGGTTGTTGAGTGTTAACGAGGAGGAGCGGTAGTTTTGGGAACTTAGTGAGAGGAGTGACAGATGGCGGTCCGGAGTAGTTTCTTTGGTAAATCACAGCCTTTCCACCCGCAGAGACCGCATTATCCACTCCACTGGGATCTCCATGTATGCATAACTCGCCCACGAATGCCCAACGACTGATACGCTCAATCTGTACCTGGGCTTCTTCGGCAGGCTGGTCAGGATGTGGACCTGCAAGAGTCCGTATTTGAAGGAGCAGCGCTGCACTCAGGCAGACGCAAACGCTGGCGCTGCTACCCAGACCGGCACCAATTGGAATGGTGGATCGCAAAGTGTAAATAAACCCAGGGCTTAGCGGGGAGCCTAATGAAAGGAAAAGGTAGAGGAAGGCGGTTGCAGATCGTACATGAATTTTTCGCTGCGTTTCTGGAAGATGCTTGGATACTGCCTCTGCATGCGGTATAACAGCTTTAAGTAATTCGGGGTTAAGGGAGTCGACGAGAGAGTAATAAAACTTTTTCTTCTCTGGTTCATGGAAAATGTCCCATGGTAGGGTGTCTATTTTCCATGTATGATTTAAACCAATGTCTTTGAAATTCAGCTTAACGGTGCGTTGGGACTTTGAGAGGGTGGTTACGAGGAGATAGGATCTGAGGGAGATGGCTGCGGCAATAGCAGGCTTGCCAAACACGGCGGCGTGCTCGCCGAATACTATGACTTTCCCCGGTGCAGAGACCATGAATGTCGGTGCCAATGGTGACGACTCTTTTCTCCCCATGACCATGGGCTATGCAATCAGTCAATAGGTGTTTTGGTGGATAGAATGCTGGTGATCGTGGAACAATGCCTGATTGAGACGACGCTTGAGGTTGTGTTGGAGCATGTCAACGTAACAAAGATTCTTACTATATGGAGCTGATTGGCTGGTGGATTTTCGGATTAACAAATTGCCGGCCCACATCTCCCCTGAATACAGACGTGCATCCACACACTCGACGCGTAGTCTACGACAGGTGCGACGGTCGACACAAAAAGTTGTCTAGCCGTTCGAGGTGAAAGCATCTTCAATCTCCTCAAGCATAGGGCAGCCGCGAGGCCTTTGGCAGCCGCTCTGGTCATGTGTTCCTTGTACCGCAGGTTCGTGTCCATAACTACCCCTAGGACCTTCACACTACTTTTCGGCTTGACCTCTTTTCCTTTTATCAGGTATGCGTCGTCACTGGACCGCGAAGCAGTCCTCGTGAAGTGAATCACTGCCGTTTTGTTTGCTTTAAATGTTGCGCCGCTGCGTGCCTCCCACTTGAGCGCATCGTCAATGATTGACTGAATGCCCGCTCGGTTTTCCTCTGCGGTCGGTCCCGTCACCCAAGCCGTATAGTCGTCCACAAAGGCGATTGAACCACCATTAGCGTTGATCTTTCCTTGCACCAAGTCTGCGTTGAAGAACAGGAACGCTATTGGCGATGACGGTGGCCCCTGCGGCAGGCCGGCCTGGGCTAACACCCGGCGTTCAGACGCATATCCATTTACTACCACAGAGGCTGTCCTATCTGAACAGAAGGCGCCTACCCAACGGACTAGTCTGTCTGGTATGCCCCTCGCCTTCATCCTTTCCAGCAGGCGCTCTTTGCACACACCATTGTAAGCGCCTTTCACGTCAAAGCTTATCAAGCTCAGCACCTTTCCGGCCCTCCATGCCTTGTATATGTGTTCCTGCAGAAGCAAGAGCGCTTGCTCAGCTGACCGTCTCTTTCTCGCTCCGAAGTGGTTTGCGGGCAAAAGTCCACAAGCCTCAACAGCGTAGGATATCCTTTCTGCGATAACTGCTTCCATTATCTTGCCTAGTGTTGACAAAAGGGATATTGGTCGCCAGGCCTTAGCTATTGTGTAGTCTCCTTGTCTGGCTTTTTGAGCGGGATGATCTTGGCGCTTCTCCACTGGTGCGGTACAACACCCTCTCGGAGTGAACAGTCGAAAAGAGTCCAAATCCGGTACTTCACTACAGGCCACAGGCGTTTCCACACCATTGCCGGCAAGCCATCCTCTCCTGGGGCCTTCCAAGGCTTCGCCGCCATTATCTTCTCCTCGATTTCTTCCAGCGTAAGCTCCGGCATTGACAAAGCCTCGCGGTGCGGTCGTCGGACTTCTTCTTCAATCCGTGCGGGCAATGGCGGGAAGAACGTTTTAAGCAGCTCCTCCGCCTGTTCAGCATTCTCTTTGGCTACTGATCCGTCTTCCCTCTTCAATGAATACTGCAGAAAACCGATCATAGCAAACTGTCAGACAATTGAGGGTCCCAAAAGATCGAGCATAATGGCGCCGTAGGCGCCAATTGTATTGAATGATAATTACTTCAGGAGCATCCTAACCATACAAAAGAGAGGGCAGTAGTTGCCTTATATAGAACATAACCTCCGTTTGACAACAGAGACTGAAGGACTTCTCTCCGGAGAGAAGTCCGCTGCTGGGTGGGCTTGATATGCGACACAAACGCATTCATTTGTAATGAGCCGATCAAAATCTCCTCAGTTATATTGGTACTGAACCGCAGAACATCTGCCATGTCATGAATAGCGTCTTAGGTTGGTTGAGTTTGAAGCGGAAGCGCCTGTGCAGGGATCGCGAAGACATGTTTGGGAGACACCGCATATTGCTGGAGAATTGTATGATTCCACCATTTTATTTAGAAAAATCAGGAGTCTTGTTTTATCTAGCTGTCTAAGCAATTGCGTTGTCAGAAATCGGTATAAGACTCAAAACAACAGCCTGAAGAACTCTTCAACAGAAAATGCGCCTCATCACTAGAAGGTATACCTCTCAAGTTAAACGTCGGGACGGCGTAACAAAATCTCAGAGACAATTTCATGCCTCTTGTTAGCTCTTGCACCTAGAGCTTGTAACCGTTCGATCGTCTCTTTAGACCCTATCGTCCTCATGTCTGGTCTGGCGGCAATGTCGAGCATAGTCCGATCTTCACTGTCAACTGCATTTATGTCAATTCCTGCATCTCGAAGTAGCTATATCGCCCCGTTATCGAATTCGTCTGCTTGGAATTCGAAAGCTAAATGGTGCAGTGGCGTCCATCCAAGTCCGCTGATATCGATAGAAGCTCCGGCACCCAAGAACAATCTGATTAGTTGCTCTTCATTGCTCCTCCAAACCTTTGCACAAGGTTCCAGCATTTCGCCGTTAAAATGAACGTTCAAAAGGTCAATAATGGCCCCGCAGTCTATAATCTTCGCGCACATGGTAACAAATTCAGTCATATGCCCATTCTTCGCAATGTGAAACTGTCAACACCATCGTTGATGCAAATCCTCCAGCAGACAGTCCAGAACGAATGTCAGCTCTTCGGGTGGAAGACTTGACATATCGCCTGTAGCTTCTTCAAGTACCGATAATACTTGTAGCTCTGAGCGAATATCGCTTATAGCCCTAATACTGCGTCTTGACAGCTGGGGCATGGTGGGCCTTCACCGTCCGTAATGTGTTGTAGATTGTTCAGTGAATTTTTTAATAAAGAGAGATTTCAAGCCGATATAAGATGTTCTGCGCTTAAACGTTAGTTTATCTTAAATTTAATAGTGGATAATTGGAGAATGGTAGGCACTTGAAGGACGTAGGCCAGCTTACCTTAGCGGGCTCAGGCTATTTCCAAGAGGAGCCTAGCGCTTCCATATTAGGACTAGTGCTAATGGTCACGTTACTTTTACAACTCCTCGAGTAAATAATGTGACTTACCGATTAGGTATAGTCTGGTCCTTGACCCCACAAATGGCCTGAGCTTGCTAAGATAAAGGCTAGCGTTAGGCAGATGAGCATGGATGGCAAAGCCACTTGGACCCCGAGAGTGGGAAATGTCGTCGCATGATTGGCCGATACCGAGGAGGCTCATTGGGCTCATATCCCTTTGGTTGTGTTAAGGCTCCAGTCGGGTATCTGCAGGGATATATATCCAATGAGATGCTAAATTCAAAAAGATACATTTAATTACTAATAAGTTAAGTGATAATTAAAGTACTTATAAGATAATGCTTTATAAGTTACTACATTTAACTTAATACAGCTCTAACGCGATTAACGGGTCGCCTTACGGTTACCCGCTATTAGTATAGGCATTATAGGGCTCGTGACCTCGCTGGAGCCTTAACACAATCAAAGGGATACGATATTGACGTTGTATAGCTCACATATCCAGAACTAGCATGCTGACAGAGCGAGTGCTTCTGCCTCTTCCGCTAACCCCTTAGTAAGAAGATGCACGACTTTGTGCTTTAAGAAGGCATTATTAGAGCTGGCCTAGGCAGTCTAACGAAAACATCTAATAGAAGCTTCTTTAGAGCCCTAGTAAGGTTAAGGTTTCGAGACTACTAGGGAAAGATTTCCTCGTTAGGAAGTAGAATAAGAGAGTAGCTAGCTTTCTATAAGGTAATTATTTGCCTTTTAATTATTTAACTAGCCGTAGTATATTATTTTATATTTTATAGCTATAAATATAGTATTAAAAGTCGCTAGTATTCTCGTATACTTTCTTAAACGCTTAAAGTAATTTCTTTTAACTAGTAATTTATAGCGTTATAATAGAGGTATTAGGTAAGTTATAAGAGAGCGGCGAAATTTTATTACTAGTAGGGAATTCTAAATAAGCACAGGTAATAACCGCGTGTATACGCTAGTAAACCCTATTATTAGAATCCCTTATTACAGGTAGAGTATTAACTATAGTATAGTTTTATAGTTTTATAGTTTTAATAGTTTTAAATATAAAAAAAAGTAAGTTCTTA